CCTCTTTTGTGTATTTTTTACTGGTAAGCATAAGCACTTTCTGGAAGATTAAACACACACACATACACACACACACATACACAGTCTAGCTACTTTAGCCACTAAAATATACAAGTATTAGAATTTCTAGGAGCAAATACTATGACCTTTACTTGTTTAATTACTTCTTCCTGGGCTGGCCTCATAACCTAGTGGAGCCACATCCCACATGACTTGACAACAGTTTGAATCCTGGCCCTGGAAGTTTGAGAAATATGCTGGCCATGTTTGCACACGTGCCCCAAATTCTGACAGGAATTGGGTGTAGAAATGGAGAAGGGATTGTAGTATGACCATACCCATTATGTAGTTATTTCTCTCCTCTCTTTCTGTGTGTGTCCTTTCAATTCTCTCTCAGAAGTGCCTGTACACTCTGGCAATTAAAACAAGAACAATAAAACTCCTGCTTATTGCTTAATGCAGCATCACACATACTAGGTTGTTGGAAAAGTCATGATGCGTTTTTCTAAAATGCATCATAACTTTTCAGACAGCCTGTACAATAAAAGCGTTCAATATATAATTTTAAAAAAATCATATCTTAGAGGATCTTCTGATTGACTCATATACCTGAGAGGGACTGTCAGTTCATCCACTCCACCTGTTTTACAAGGGAAGAAACAGAAACTGATGAGACAGTGGGTAAGACTTGGGAAGGTACAGAACCAGAATCCAGGCCCGCTTAATCCAGTTCTGTGCCCTTACATGCTACACAGCTTTCCCTGGGAAGTAACAGGGTGGGAATTCATTTTTCTTGCCACCCTCATTTATTTTACTTTAGATTTTTCTGAAACATTTAAAAGTGTATTTTTTACTTCTAGTTCTTTTCTTACCTTTACCTTTTTTTAATGTTTTGAGATCATTGAACTTAACCTTGGTGTGTTTGGGGCCAGTTTTCCATTCTAATGGGATTTCTAATGTAACTACAAGCATCTCTTATCATACACAAAGAGCAACCGTTTCTGTTTAGCACATCCCCCTTCACTTGTATGATCTGTCAGTTTCTCCTTGTCTTCAAAGAGGCTATCAAGGTCCATGGTGAGATTCTATTTCTCTAATAATCCTATAATGTTTTCTGATTTTGGACTGCATTGAGTCTACTTGTGAGTCCCTGAGACCTGAAAGTTAACAACTTCTTTGTGTCTGAGAGGCTGCTCCCAGCAACTCTGTAGCCATCACCTACAGATCAAAACAAATATATTGAATTACATAGTAAATGCTATGGATACTATTTGGATTACCATGAGAAAAAGAGAAAGAAGGAAAATTGAGAGGCTCCTGAACGTTTGAAGAACACAAAAGAGATGATTGGTCTGAAGGCTAAGCTCTATCATAAACAGTGCCATGCTGAGAAAACACAAATGAAGAAGACTGTCAAGATGCATGAAAAGAGAAACACCAAACTAAAGAATGATGAAAACACTCCACAAGGAGCAGTACCTGCCTATCTCTTGGTCAGAGAAGGACAGTCCCAAGCTAAAGTATTTTCCCATAGGATTAAACAAAAACAGAAAGAGAAAGCAGGAAAATGGGAAGTCCCTCCACCCAAAGTTCAAGCCCAGGGAGAAACTGAGTATTAAAAGTTACTCAAACAGGAAAGAGAAAGGAGGAGGCATATAAGAGGATGATAAAACTCTGCTTTGTTGGAGATGGCTTTACTAGAAAACCACCTAAATATGAAAGATTCATTAGGACAATGGGCTTACGTTTCAAGAAGGCCCACGTAACACATCCTGAACTGAAAGCCACCTTTTGTCTGCCAATCCTCGGTGTAAAGAAGACTCTCTCATCCCCACTATGTATAACTTTGGGTGTGATCACCAAAGGTACTGTCATTGAGGTAAACGTGAGTGAGTTGGGCCTTGTGACACAAAGAGGCAAGGCTATTTGGGGGAAATATGCCCAAGTTACCAACAATCCTGAAAATGATGGATGCATAAATGCTGTCTTACTGGTTTGATAGCAGTTGCATACAAGTAACTTCTTGTAATTTTTGAACGTGATACACCAATCTGGAAAACCACCATGACTATGATGTTTCTGAATATAGTCGGTCTTACATGTCTGCAGTCATCAATAAATTACTAAGTTGTACAAAAAAATATTAAAGTACCCTCGTTTTACAAAAAAAAAAAAAATCCTATAATATTGTGGAGTATCTGTTTTCTTGTATTTCTGGGTTAAAACAATGAAGTTGACCTTAGTTTTATCCGAATACTATCTTTTCCTTAAAGTAGTAGTTTTTCTCTGTCTTTCAGGATTCTGTTTCTGTTGGTGTCATAGTATCAAAATTCTTTTTTTTTTCTTTTTAATTTGACCAGAGAGAGACAGAAAAGGAAAGTGAGAAACCAAGCTGCCAGGTTCAGGACTCAAACTGTAGTCAACCATATGGAAGTCCAGTGCCTTAACCACCACACCACCTGCCGGCCCTAGTATCTAAGTCTCAATCCTAAAAATGTATCCCTTAAGACATTTCTAACATTGTAAATGCTAGGCAGAGCAAGTGAACAAGAGAAATCACCGCCAGGAAGATGGCTACATTGCAGTCTCTTCTCCAATCTCCTCTCGAGATTTTGGTCACACATCTACATGTGTCTAGCAGAATTCTCAAGCTGCCATATCCAGGACTCAAACTACATAGCTGACCATGAGGGATCCAGTTACCTTAACCTTCTTGCCACCTGCTGGTCACTCTACCTTTTCAGTTCTGTGAGTTTTTTTACGTTCTCATTTGCTACCATTGTATATTCAAGGCCTCTTCTCCTTCAGAATCTTGTTAGCCCAGACTTTCTTCTCTTGACTATTTTTTTTTTAAGATTTTTTTTTTCTATAGAGTGCGTGCGCTCGCCAGAAAGACAGAGAGAGACAGAAAGCGAGAAATTACCCCCCAGGGGGGATGGCCACACCACAATCCCTTCTCCTTCATTCTCCTCTCTGGATCTTGGGCACACATGCACATGCACCTGGCATGAGTTTAAGTCATTGGGTCCAGGACTCGAACCGCGGTCGACTACGTGGGAGTTCAGTGACATAGCCATTATGCTAACTGCTGGTTCCATGACTTGTTTTCTATGTCTATTCCCTTTCTCTTTTTGAGCAAGTTCATGCTTTTTTAAAAATTTTGATTTCTGGGCCATCCCATGATATCAGGTTATGGAGTCAGATCCCACATGGCCAGCTGTGTAGATTGAGTCCCCAATCTGGAGGCTTGAAAACTCACTGAGTGCTTACCCCAAATCCCTAAACGAGGGAGAGAAATGGGCAAGAAGAGATTGTGAAATGACCATGCCCCTTGGGGTGTGCTCTCTCACTCTGCCCCTACTCTACATCTCTCCAGTGAGCTCATGTGCCCTCTGGCAAAAATTAAGAAAAAATTAAGTAGTCCATTATGTCATTTTAAAAATAAATGAATGAGGGGGGCCAGTAGGTGGCATGGTGAATAAAGGCACTGGATTCCCACGTGGCTGACTGTGGTTCAAGTCCCAGACCTGGTGGCTTGCTTTCTCGCTCTCCCTTTCTCTCTCTCTCTGTCTCTTTCTGGTCAAATTAAAATAATAATAATAGGAATTAAATAAATAATTATTTAAAATAAATAAATGGAATTTTGATTTCTAATTAAATTTATTTTATTAAAATAAATGGTTTCCTGTGGGATTTAACATTTCAGTCTGAAATGGGTTCTAAGTTGATATATAGAGGATGTATATTCCAAATTACATTTTCCTTTTTTTTTTTTTGTAGGTTTTTGTCGTAGGGTGCAAGAGCTCCCCAGAAAGAGAGAGACAGAGAAGACAGTGAAAGGGAAAGTGGAAAATCACCCCCAGGGTGGATAGCCATGCTGCAATTCTTTCTCCTCCATTTTCCTCTTAGGATTTTTATGGGCATGCACACACATGCACCCAGTGTGATTTTCAAGTCACCAGGTCCAGGACTCAAACCACAGTTGGCCATGTGGGAGTCCAGCACCTTAACCAGTATGCCACTGCTGTCCCAAAAAACAGTTTTAACAAAAAACTTTGTAATTTATTAGTTCATCAGGAAAATCATGGCACCTTTTTGGATAGAAAAGGATAGAAAGATATGTCCTGACTTTCTCAACCTCATAGATCTGAATTTGGTTTTTTTGCTGCTCATTTTCTTCCTTGGGATTAATTTAGCTTTTGGTAACACAGAAAACTGTCATAATTGGGTCCAGCAGGTGGTATGATGGTTAAGGGTGCTGGACTCTCCCTGGCTGACCGTGGTTTGAGTCTCAGACCTGGTGACTGGCTTTATCCTTTTCTCTCTCTCTTGCTCTGTTCCTCTCTGGTCAAATTTAAATAAAGAAATAAAGTTAAATAATTTTTTTTTTAAAAAACAAAACTGCCATTATTACAAATAGCTCTTAGGAAGAAGAAACATCATGAGCTCTCTTGACTGCCATCTTCCAAAAGCCTCGACCCAGTCCTATTCATATTCTCTTTTTCTAAAGAATTAAAGTATACTTTTTTTTTAACTTATGAAATCAGACTGGCTTATTTTTTTGTTTTTTTGTTTTTTTTTGATAAGGTGATCTTGAAGATGCTGGGAAAATGATAGCTGAAAACAAAATCGTTGTAAACAAAAGTGACCTCATCCCCAAAGTGTTAACTTTAAATGTAGGTGATGAGTTTTGCGGTGTGGTTGCCCACATTCAGACTCCAGAAGACTTTTTTTGTCAACAACTACAAAGTGGCTGTAAGTCAATGTTCTTAATTTGTTACGCCAAGATAACATACTTGAAGAGACTCAACTTGCGAAAATAAAAGCAGTGCATAGATGTGTATTCCTTTCGTTTAAGATGTGATCTGTCCCTACAGATAAGCTCGCAGAACTTCAAGCATCCCTTAGTGAGTACTGTGGTCAAGTGTCTCCACGCTCTGATTTTTATCCAACCATTGGTGATATATGTTGTGCTCAGTTCTCAGGTAATTACATTTTTTATTTAAAATTGAGTGAAAACATTTGAAATAATCTTTGGTTTACCTTGAGTGGTCTCTGCTTGAGGGAGGAGGTCCAGTGGCCCCATGGAAGGGCAGGTAAAAGTAAGCCTCCAGGGAATTGATTGATGGGCTGTTGGCGTCTGGTTGACTCATACTAGTAGGCAAGTGTTATAAAATTAGCCCGGCTTGATACCTTTGTGAATGGTTTCTATTGATCAAGACCTTGGAGAATCACACGATTCATCTTAATGAGCTGTTTATTAGAGAGACAAGGCAATGAAAAGTTTAATGATAGCAAATGATGTATTTAGTGTAGTTAACTATTGATAAAAGTTACATTTTTGGAGTTAAATGCTCCTGTTAGAGTATCAATGTTTGGTAAGTATATGTTCTGTAAAACATGATATTCTGTTAAATGAAATCTACAAATGACCATCTAATCTGGAGAGGAAAAGTTTTTGTTTGTATCTGCATTGGAAAGTCATTTGCTGGTCTCTTTTTTTTCAGAGGATGATCAGTGGTACCGGGCTTCTGTTTTGGCTTATGCTTCTGAAGACTCTGTGCTGATTGGATATGTAGATTATGGAAACTTTGAAATTCTTAGTTTGACAAGACTTTGTCCCATAGTTCCAAAGCTGTTGGAATTGCCCATGCAAGCTGTGAAGTGTGTGCTGGCAGGTACGGAAATATGGCTTCTGTATTCTTAAACTGTTAAAACCTAAAGATGAAAAAAGAAACCTGAAAAGATGCATGAAGTAGGGAAGGGACCAGCAGTTAGTGTAATGGCTATGTCACTGGACTCCCATGTAGTGACCACAGTTTGAGTCCTGGACCCAGTGGCTTAAAACTCACACCAGACGCGTGTGTGTGCGTGCCCAAGATCCCGAGAGGAGAATGGAGGAGAAGGGATTGTGGCATGGCCATCCCCCCAGGGGGGTGATTTCTCGCTTTCTCTCTCTGTCTCTCTCTGTCTTTCTAGCGAGCACACATGCCCTATAGCAAAAAAGCTTCTCCCCCCCAAAAAAGATGCATGAAGTAGGGAAAATCTGCTTTCAAACAATAAGAGCATTATGATTGTATACTTAGAAATTACTGTGTATGTACTTTGTCCCTCTGGGATCAGGAGTTTTTTGGTTGATAAACTGGTTTCAGCAACCATCATTAAGATGTACTGTCGTTTAACGAGTATTAAATATTAATAGGATGTTTACAAGTTTTTTCTACTAGCAATGTGTAATTTAGTAATTACACATTTTGCAACATATCCCAAGGAAATGGTTTTGGATGTGTTGCAGAATGTATTCATACTGGGAAATACTTCCTTAAGATGCACTCCCGGGGTGGAACACTAAGCACGCCTCTTTTCATGTTTGAGATGTATGTTGTGCATTGTCTACAGAAGGAGTTGAACTAACTTACTCACCAGAAAAGTATGGAGGAATAAATGTCTTCACATGTTTGTATACCAGAGATATATCTCTATTGTATCTCATCTTAGCCAATTTCAATAAGCTGAAAGCGGAATCATTTCAATTTGTTTCATGTCCAGTGAGGCTGCACATTTGTTTTTGGAAAATTATTTGGTTCTTTTACAATATTTTATTAATTGATTTAGTCTTGGAATCATGACTTTGTAAGTGCCATTTCAGTGCTGTTCTGTTAAGTGCTACAAATGTTTAATGTGTTATCTAGGGACTCCATACTTCTTTCTGGATTGATATTTTTGTTTGATTTGTCTTAAACGTTTTTGAGGTGTAATTGACAGACCATACAACTTGCTGTTTTAGATGTACAAGGTAGTGATTTTTGGTTAATTTACTAAATTCAGCCAACATTACCATCATCCAGTGTTAGAACATCTCCATCACCCCAAGGAGTTCTCTTGTACTCCAAGCAAAAACTAATATGCTTTCCATCTCTGTAGATCTGCTTTTCTGGACATTTTATATGAATGGAATTAGGAATTTTTTTTTTTTCAGAGACAAGCTTTTTACAAATTTTCTCATTGTTAATTTCATCTGTTTTCATATTTAGAAAATTCTCTATTTAGGTGGGACTTTTGATCCCGTTTTTGTAATAGAGTTCTTGTTTAACTGTAGGAATTAGTTAAATTTCTAAATGCTTATACTATAAGAATTATTTTAAGATTTTAAAAATAATTGATAAATTATTTTGCCTAGGAGTAAAGCCATTATTAGGAATTTGGACTCCAGAAGCTATTTGTCTCATGAAAAATATCGTACAGAACAAAATGATCACGGTGAAGGTCGTAGACAAGTTGGAGAACAGTTCTCTGGTGGAGCTTCTAGACAGATCCGTGACGCCGCACGTCAGCATCGCCAAAGTTCTCATAGATGCCGGCTTCGCTGTGGAAAAGGGGTTGGTGACGGAGAAGCCTAGCAATGCGAAGGAAGCCAGTGGTGGGTAAATGCCTGCAGAGGATGTCCATGCTGGAGTTTAGATGCTTCTGTAAATGTGTGGGTTCTTGTACTGTCCCAGCTTTTTAAATTAAGCATTCATCTAACTACATTTAAGAGTGTGTTTAAAAACTGAAATTTTGTTGAAACGTTTATGGTTCACTGACAGCCGAGATGGATCAGATGCGTAGATTTAAAATTCAGGGAGGTGATTCCACTGAATTGGGTCCTGCTCATTTGTCCATCCTTCCTCCTTCCCTCCCCTCGCTCCCTCCCTTCCTTCTTTCCTTCCTTTAAAAAAAGGTGGGGGGGAACCAGCAGTTAGCGTAATGGCTATGTCGCTGGACTTCCACGTAGTCGACCGTGGTTCGCGTCCTGGACCCGGTGGCTTAGAACTCACGCCAGGCGCATGTGCGTGCGTGCCCAAGATCCCGAGAGGAGAATGGAGGAGAAGGGATTGTGGCATGACCATCCCCCCTGGGGGGTGATTTCTCGCTTTCTGTCTCTTTGTCTCTGTCTGTCTGTCTGGCGAGCGCACGCGCCCAATAGCAAAAACATCTCAAACAAAAAAAAAAAAAGAAAGAAAAGGTTGGGGGGGGGATAAAATTCAGGGAGGTAATGATGGCTGTAATGATGGTTAATTCTAAGTCTGACTTTAACTTTCCCGTGAAGTCACTCGGGATATCAGCAGAAATTCGGTTCTTCAATGAAAGCAGATTCCTCAGCAAACCCCCATCCTCTCTGCTCTTGCTGTATCTTACCACAGCACTGCTCAATTTTTTTTTTTCCAAAATGCTGAATTGTTTTTGCAGGTCCCTTAAGTGTAGAAGGAAAAGTAAATCTGTTGGAATGGACATGGGTTGAACTTGCTGTTGACCAAACAGTGGATGTCGTGGTCTGCATGGTATATAGTCCTGGAGAATTTTATTGCCATGTGCTTAAAGAGGATGGTAAGTCAACTCCTCTTATTTATTTTTTAATAGATACGTTGACATAGATTCTAGTTTAAGATGAGTTTGTCACTAAGTGATAAAAGTGCTGTTTCTTCCAGAAGGGCCAAGTGGTTATTAATGTTTTCAGGAAACATTTGATTTTATTTAGTTGACTTTTATTCTGTTTTAAGACATTATTTCTTTCTTTCTTTCTTTCTTTTTTTTTGAGAGATTTTCGCTATGGGGCACGTGCGCTCGCCAGACAGACAGAGAGAGACATTAGAGACAGAAAGCAAGAAATCACCCCTCAGCGGGTATGGTCACACCGCAATCCCTTCTCCTTCATTCTCCTCTCGGGATCTTGGGCACGCACGCACATGCGCCCGGCATGAGTTTTAAGCCACCGGGTCCGGGACGCGATCCGCGGTCGACTACGTGGGAGTCCAGCGACATAGCCATTACGCTAACTGCTGGTTCCCAAGACATTATTTCTATTGCCAGCAATCTTGCTTTATATTTAAGCCAGTTTAGAATTTGTAGATTCCCCCCCCCCCACTTAAACTTTAGATTTGTTTCCTCCTGGGTTTTAATATCCATTCACATGTTTCCTAAATTTACTTTTGGAATTAAATTTAATTGTGGATTTAAAGTATAACATACATAAAGGAGTGAATGAATACTGTAGCATGGTGAATTATCACAAAGACAATGCCTCTGTGTAAGAAAACCTCTAAGTCAAGAAATAAAACTTTAGCAAAGACCGGGCGTTGTGATATACATCTATAATAATGACTCTGGAGGAGGCATTGGGAGGATCCTGAGCTCAAAGCTGGCCTGGGGCAACCTCGCAAGACTCTAGGTAGAACAGAGCAGGGCATTGGCTCTGTAGCCTAGTGGCTAAGAGTGTGGGCTCTCGCATGGCCTACGTTGCTTTGAATCCCAGACATGGCGGCTTGATAGCACACTGGGTATATGCGCACGTGTGCTGCATGTCCCAGCAGGATGGAGACTAGAATAGGATTGCAGCATGCCCATGCCCCGTGGAGTGTGCTTGCTTTCTCGGCAAGCGCACACATCCTTTCGCAATCAAACAGAAACTGTGATCATGATGGTGTGTGTTGTCATCTCACCTGGGAAAGGAAAGAGAAATAATATTACTAATGTCATGGACGATTCCTTCATATTTTCTCTTACTACCCCTCTCTTTCAAAAGTAAACACTATGCTGCCTTCTGCTAGCCTAGACGAGTTTTCCTCATTTTGGACTGTACATAAGTGGGATGGTGGCACGTGCTCCTGTGGGCCCTGGTACTCTCCTTTTTCTACATGGTGGGACTGTTGTCACATGGAGCAGCAGCTCATTCTTCATTGTTGTATAGCGCTCTGTTCTGTGAAGGTCTTACAGTTTATTATTTTCCTTCTGCTATGGAATATTCGGCTTCTCATTTGGGCTATGAGATGATGTTGATATGGAACATCTTGAACAAATTTGGTTCCCATATGTATTTCCTATATCTAGGAATGCAATTACTGGGTCATAAACGGGTATGTGTACTTTCAGTGTGGGTTGTGGAATGTCATTTCCAAAATGTTTATGACAGTCCTCAGTTTTAGACTTCTGGTTGCTCCACATCCTCACAAACACTTCGTATTTTAAGTTTTAGCCATTCTGGTGAAGATTATTGACTTTATTTTCTCCAGATCTTAGTTTTCACCCCTCTCAATGAGGATAGTAAATAGGTAGTAACTAAGTCCCTTTCTGACTTCCAAGTCGTGAAGTCTGTCGTCCCTTTACTCAGAGTCGTCTGGTACATAGGCCACTACTGCACATATGATAAAAGTGAACATTTCCAAATTCCTTTTACATTTTTATAGTTGACTGTACAAACATGGTATAAAATTCAAGTTTTAAAAGATTATGGGTTAAAAAGGAAGCTTCTTAGTTCTGCTTTTCAGTTTTCTAAATATCCTTCAGCCACCCTATAATTTTTCTAAGAATCTTTTTAGAGGTCATCTGTATATATATTTGTATGTATGTATTCATTTATGGGTTCATAAATGGTAAAACATTGTAAATGATTTGTGTCTTTACTTTTTTTCCCTCTTACTCTTAGCATCCTTTATCACATAGTGTTTTATTCATTCTTGTTCCTTTTATTTTTAATTTTTAAAAATGGTTTTTATTGAGGTGGGGGGAAGAAGAGACACGGGCACTCTGGACTAGTTCTCACCACATTGCGATGAACTGCCAGCCTTCTAGCCAGGCATGATCAATGGGAGTGCATGGGCCCCGGTGTGCTTTGGGTCAGCCCCTGTTCCACACTGCAGTTTTATACCTGGCTCCAGCATTGCCTGGTGCCGCACCTCCTGCACCTCCGTGGTTGGGCCCATTCTTTATAACATAGCTTGTATTTTGGAACGGTTTTAGATTTATAGAAAAGTTGCAAAGATGTGGAGAGTTCTGTATATCCCTCACTTAGTTTTTCTGTAGTTAACACCTTACATAATTATGATACATTCATTAAAACTAAATGACTAACAGTAGTATAGTGCTATTAACTGAGCTCCAGACTTTATCTGCATTTTGCTGTATTTCCCACTAATGCCCTTGTTCTGTTCTAAGATCCAATGCAAGACACCACATTGGTGTTTGGTTTTCATTCCATTCTTTTTCGTGGTGTTCCATTGTGTAGGTTACCCTAATTTAATTAGCCTAGGTGGGGCTAAATAGAGGAATAGTCTTTCCAAACTTTCATTACTGAAACAAGTCCTTAAACTCTGATTTTACTCTGGGAGTATCCTTGGGACAGATTGCTAACATTATAATTGATAGATCAAAGAGTAAGTCGTGCTTGTGCATTTGAGACCTGGTACCCTTCCAAGATCAGCCAAGCAATTCCCCAGCAACAGCATTCAAAGGTGTCTTTTTCTACACCATTTCCAATTGCCAGAGGTGTGTTCTTAAGCTTCTTTTGACCAATCTGAAAGATGAAAATTCTAACTCATGGGACCAGCAGTTGGCATAGTGGCTATGTTGCTGGACTCCCATATAGTCAACCGCAGTCCGAATCCCCGACCTGGTGGCTTAAACTCATGCCAGGCGAGTGTGCGTGCATGCCCAAGATCCTGAGAGGAAAATGGGGGAGAAGAGATGGCAGCGTGGCCATCCTTCCTGGGGGTGTGATTTCTCACTTGCTGTCTTTCTGGTGAGTGCATGCACCCTATAGCTAAAACCTCTCTAAGAAAAAAAAAAAAAATCTAACTCACTGTAATTTAGTTTTCATTTGTGTGAATGAGCTTTTGTCACATACTTAAAAAGGCATTACTTTTCTTCTTCCTACTGGATCACACCTATTTATCTCCTAATGTTCTCTGGTCTGTATGTTTCTGAGCACATCTGTGCTATTTTCTTCAGTAGCTCATCTTTCCATTCCTCTTCTTGGTTAGACTGCAGCCCACCAGGTGTTTTCTGGCTGCCAGATTCTGCAATTCTGTACTTTGTTTCAGTTCCTTCTGGAATGCCCCATCCTTTCTGTCACAGGTGTTCCATTTCAGATTTCTCCATGAATCCTGCAGCACACATGGCTCATGAGTTCTCCACATTTCCTTAGCATACATTATCTGTGCTATTTCTTTTTTTAATTCAAAAATTATTTTATTTAACTTTATTTATTTGAATTTGACGAGAGAGGGACAGAGCAAGAATGAGAGAGAAGGAAAGTGAGAAAGCAAGCCACCAAGTCCGGGATTCAAAACACGGTCAGCCATGTGGGAGTCTAGCACCCTTAACCACCACGCTACCTGCCGGCCCTGATCTGTGCTGTTTCTTGAGTGATTGTGTTTACTCTTTCACGACAGCTTTATGTCACTTTCTGTATAAACCTGTATCGTGTATCCTTGACCACCTACAAAGCTCATGATCTGGTTTATACTACTAATAATGCCATGGTTGTGTCTGTTGCCCAGTAAATTGTAGGTACTGTGTTTATTGAGAGTATTGACTAAATAACGGGCTATTTGCCTGATAGTTTTTTTCTTTTACTTTGTCTGAAAGTACACGTGCTTGCCAAAGAGAAATGGAGAAAAAGGTAGAAAGCATCCCCCAGTGGGACGTGGTCACACCACAGTCCTTTCTTCTCCACTTCTCCATCCCGTCAGGAATTTAGGCACACATGTACTCGTGCCTGGCATGTTCTTCAAGCTGCTGGGGCCAGGATTGAAACGAGCTGGCCATATGGGAACCAGCACCCTCACCCACTAGGCTACAGGGCCAGCCTTTCGCCCAGTAATTTCTTAAGAAGAAAAGACATTTGGTCAACTTAATAGTTGTTTGGGGATGTACCTGAGGTTTTTATGATCCAAACTTTTTCTGACTTCAAAGGAAAATGTATGTTCTATATTTTGAAAATATTAAATGTCATATGTTATATGCCTTACATTTTCAGCTTTAAAGAAACTCAAAGATTTAAACAAATCACTAGCAGAATTTTGCCAGCAGAAGTTGCCTAATGGTTTTAAGGCAGAAGTAGGGCAACCTTGTTGTGCCTTTTTTGCAGGTAAGTTGCAATGTAACCTTGATTAGAACCTGTTGTTTGTTGATGATCGGCCATTGTTTATAGTGCACATTTTCTTCCCAATGTTAAAGTGAATATTTTTCACAGCAAAGACTAAATGAATGCTTAAAATGTCATGTATTGGGGTTGGCAGGTGGCGTGGTAGTTAGGTGCTGGACTCCCACATGGCTGACCTTGGTTTGAGTCCCAGACTCACTTTCTCTTCTCTCTCTCTGCTCAAATTAAAAAGTAATAATAATAAATAAACTCAATAAAATAATTCTTTAAAAAAAGTTTAAAATGGCATGTATTGGACCAGCAGGTGGCATGGCAGTTAGGACACTGGACTCCCACATGGTTGACTGTAGTTCAAGTCCCATACCTGACAGCTTGCTTTCTAATTTTCTCTCTGTCTCTCTCTGGTGAATGCATGTGCCTTATAGCAAATTAAAAAATAATACTAAATAAAATTAAATTTTTTTTTATGTCAGGTATTTGTCCTGTGTCTCTTTGTTATGAAGAACCCTGAAATGATAGTTTCTTGCTTGAACGTTGTTCAATATTCTTTTTATTTTATTAATTTTTTTAGAGAGAGAATTTTGCATAAGGCACATGTGCTTGCCAGAGAGACACAAAGAGAAAGTGAGAAATC